GAGCTAGGCTGATTTCTTGACCCGGTGGAGGGACGAATCCGTGAAGGTGAATGACCTGGATGACAAGTCCACGGTCGCCATACTAACCAACGCACTGAGATCGGGCGAGTTGTACAAGGATTTTGTCCGAAATCCTCCGGCCTCACACGAGGAGGCCCTGCAGCGAGCAAACGCGCAAGCCGAAGTAGAAGAAGCTGAGAGAAGAAAGAGAGACGAAGAGACCGGGAAGCGCCAACCTGAAGGCGAAAAGAAGAAGACCCTTGAGAAGGAAACCCTTGACTCCGACAAGGGGAATGGGTTCAGAAAGAAGAAGAAGGACTGGGGAAAGGGCAAATCAGGTGTGCCTGAGGGGCCGCTGACCAGCCACACAGATTTCTCCCCTTCTGCGCATCAAGTAAGTACTGTCCTAGATTATGCTGCGAAGCAGGGCTTGATCGCCGCCCCTGAGGGGTGCAACATCATCCACAGTCAGAATCCCAAGAACCAGTACTGCAAGATCTACAAAACTGACTCTCATCATACCAACGATTGTTACACCCTGAAGAAGTATGTAGAAAAGCTCATGCGGGAGGGTCAGTTGGAGCAATTTGTAAAGCAAACCCAGCAAAGAGAGTCTCCAACGAGAAAACTTACCTGGAGCTGCGAGAAGGACGCGCCACCTCATCCTCGAAGAAGAGGGAGGTTGGGGCCCAATTTGAAGATGACGATGAAGGAGAGGACACCGGCAGACAGAAACGACCTCACGTCAACCAGATCTACAACAGACCTGTGGGGGGGATACGGCGGGAGAAAGAAAGAAGTGAAATCGCCAACTATTTGTCGGCGAGATCAGCCGTCTTTCCGCCGATAAAAGGCAGAAACGTGAGTCAATAACTTTCACGGATGACGATTTCCCCCCATGTCCCCCACCACATAGGGATGCGCTAGTGATCAAGATGGAGGTCACAGACACGATCGTTCACAGAGTGCTGGTGGACAATGGCAGCTCGGTCAATATTCTTTACATGGATGCCTTCCTTGAGGTTGGGCTCAAGAAACAAGATCTCAAACCGATAAGAATCCCCCTTTCAAGTTTTACTGGAGATATAATTGAGCCCGAGGGAATGATAACCCTCAAGATCCAACTCGGATTGGAACCTTGCATACGGGAGATTGAAGCGGACTTCATCATTGTCCAAATACCGAGCGTACACAAGGCCATCCTGGGCATGAAGTTCTACACTCCAGCTGGGATTGGCACGGTGAGAGGGGATCAGAAGATGGCCAGGAGTTGCTATGTGAGGGCCTGCAAGGCTCACAGGGGAAGTGACATGAGGATCAATACCATTGAACAAGACCTATCTAAATATGAGGACGGGCAACTCAGAGCCCACCCGGTCTCAGAGCTCCAGGAGGTCGGGGTCGACCCATCACGGCCAGAGCGCCAAGTGAAAATTGGGGAAGGACTCCCGACCGACCTGAAAGCGGAGATAGTCCAAGTTCTGGTAGAATTCAAGATGATTTTCACTTGGGGACCCGAGGATATGCCCGGGCTCGACCCAAGCATCACTGTTCATCAATTGAATGTGGATCCAAAAATAACGACAGTAAAGCAGAAAAGGAGATACATATCCTTGGACAGAAAGGAGTTCGTAAAGAATGAAGTAAATATGTTGTTGAGCATTGGGCATATAAGAGAAGTACAGTACCCGGAATGGCTCGCTAATGTGGTGCTGGCCCCCAAGCCACCCACTTAGAGGATGTGCGTATATTACACAGACCTAAACAAGGCCTACCCGATGGATCCTTTTCCTTTGCCCAGCATTGACCAGTTCGTAGATCAGACCGCCGGCTGCGAACTCCTCTCTTTCATGGATGCGTTTAGGGGATATCATCAAATCTCCATGCACCCCTACGACGCGGAGAAGACCTCATTCATCACGCCCGAAGGAGTTTTTTGCTACTTAGTAATGGCCTTTGGGCTGAGGAATTCTGGGGCTACCTATACACGGATGGTGGCCAAGGTTTTCCGAGCAGTGCTCGGAAGAAACATGGAGGCATATGTCGACGACATGATCGTGAAGAGACAAAAGGCGGGTGACCACATGGATGACCTGAGAGAAGTATTCACTATCTTGAAGAAGGTAAATCTATGACTGAATCCCAAAAAATGTACTTTTGCTGTTCAAGGTGGGAAGTTCTTGGGGTTCATGGTCACACACCGGGGCATTGAACCTAACCCCAAGAAGGTCAATGCAATTTTAGACATGAAACCCCCAAGAAATGTTAAAGAAGTTCAGATCCTAACTGGAAGGTTGGCCGCCTTGGGGAAGTTCCTGTCTAGATCAGCTGATAAGTCCTTACCATTTTTCAAAATCTTAAAGAAGAGCAACGGGTTCCAGTGGTCTCGAGAGTGCCAAGAAGCGTTCGAGGAGTTAAAGAAATACTTGCAATCAGATCTGCTACTTAGCAAGCCTGAAGTTGGTGAGACGTTGATCCTTTATTTGGGTGTGACTCAAAGCGCAGTAAGCTCTGTCTTGGTGCGAGAAGAAGGGACCATCCAGAGGCCAGTTTATTACGTGAGCAAGGCCCTCCATGGCGCCGAGCTCAGATACCCAGCCCTGGAGAAGGTTGCCCTTGCCGTCTACGTGGTGTCCAAGAAACTTGCTCATTATTTCCAGGCTCATCCCATCAAGGTGCTGTCAGACCTGGGGGTGGGGACCCTCTTCCGAACAGCCAAGACTGCACGAGTTGTGAAGTGGTCCCTACTAATTAGCCAATATCAGGTGAGTTTCCAACCCAGAACTGCGATTAAAGGGCAGACACTGGCAGACTTCATGGTAGAATGCACTGCGAGGGACATAGCTGAGGAAAAGCGCCACGAAGAAGAGGATTGGTGGACCCTAATGACTGATGGATCGTCATCAGGATCCAAAGGTTGCGGGGGAGGGGTGGTCCTCATCACCCCTGAGGGTTTCAAATCTTACCACGCCTTAAGATACTCATTCACCTTGTCTAATAACGAGGCCGAATATGAGGCCCTACTATCCGGTCTCAGGATTGCGAGGCACTTCATGGCTTAGAAACTGAAGATCAAAAGTGACTCTAAAACACTTGATCAATAAAATACTTCCTTACGCTGCCAAATTATCTTCTGCTTCCGTAGATTTAGCTCTTGTTGTTGGATTAAACTCCATTAATAAAAAAATTAAAATAAAAAAATAAAAATCGTAAAAAATAAATAAAAAATATACAGACCTCAACCACCACCTCAGCCACCTTCCAGCACCGCCACCTCTGGTCGTCGGAAAAGATTGCCAAGTTTGGGGGAAATGTCATCATGATGGCGATTTTGAAGAGAAAACTGAATATTTCAAAGAATAAAAATATCATCTTCATGGCATTTTCAGAAAAATGTGACATTTTTTACACAAGATGTCATTTTTTCTGACGACCGGAGTTGGTTGTGCTGGGCGGTAGAGGATGCATTGGTAGTGACCTACATATTTTTTAATTATTTTTTAGGCATTTTATTTTATTTTTAGACTTTTTTAAAGTTTTTTTAATTTTTTATTTGTTTTTTTAATTTTTTATTTTTAATTTATTTTTTCACGTTTTTTATTATTAATTTGTAAATATTCTATTATTTTTATATTTTTATTTTAAATAAATGTAAGATTTTCTTATTAATAAAATAAATCTATTGGAAATTATAGGAAGGGGTAGAATGAAAAGAATAGACATATATTAGTCATATTTTAGGAATAAAGGAATTGTGCTCGTACTGTTGAATTTTGGACTAATTTTAATCCTATCAAGGGCTAATACCCGTATTTATAACTTAAACTAAATCTTAATACACAATATTCACAATGTAATTTGTTATTTGTGAAATGTTTGAAAAATTGTAATGTAAGTTCAAAATAAAGCACTGAGTATATTAATAAAGTAAAAAATGTGTGGTTGAAATTTGTGCAGAGAAAAGAGAAGTAACTTTAATCACATACTACCTCTGTCCCGGTGGACTTTGCCAAGTGCAAAGTAGATGAGAAATAAGAATAGTAAAAACTGTATGACTGACATTTGTGTAGAGAAGAGATAAATGTGCAGAACCACAAATTATTTGCTTTAATAGAAAAGTCATAGAGTTTTTTGTGACAACCAAAATAGAAAAGTTGACAAATTTCAATGGGACGGAGGGAATATTTCTTTCTTTAAATGGAAATGACAAAGTTTTTTAGAACGACAAAAAAAAATTGACTAATTTTTATGGGAGAGAGGGAGTATTAGGTGATAGATAATGATTAATTTCGGTCGTTGGTGTCGCAAAATGGGTGATGAGATCAAATTCTGATAAGATTATATCAGAATGTAAAATCAATCATGCTTGATGTACACACTCTTGTACACACCATGTTTGTGAAGCTTTTTCTTTGTCTGTGAACCCGGTTCACAGACATTATTTTGTTTGTGCAAAACATTGTCTGTGAATCGATGTTCACAGATAAAAAAAAGCTTTCACAGACATAGATGTGTACAAAAGTGTGTATAAGAGTATGTACAAACATCATTTTTGATGTAAAATACGTGCATTTGTACAATTTAGAACTGCATCCTTATACGAAACCATCAGTATATAATTCAAGCATAAATGTTTAAATTTGTGAAAGTATCTGGATCAAGGCAATCTAATATCATTACAATCAATTTCAATAACATATGAGTGATTTTTGGAACTGTTCTGCTTCTTTTTTAAAGTAGAAGCAGAATCAGAATTAGTTTAAGAAGCTGATACTCCTCAGTTTCTAAAAGAACTGATTCTGAGAGTAAATTAGAGCACCAGAAGTGTTTCTGGAATTTCATCCAAACACTCCAACTTCTGCTTCTGCTCCCTGAAGGAGCAGAATCAGTTTTGAGAATCAGATCCAAACACCCGGAAAATCAGATCCAATCACTTTCATAAATTTATTCAGTATTCCTAGTTTTGAGCGGAAGCCAGAATATGTTTAGCATGCTTCCACCTTTTTCATGCTGTTTAAAATCTGTAAACATTCTAAAATCAATGGAGCATATCTTATTGTGGGGAGCATCTTTTACTTTACCAAATGAAGTCATGAACATGATCATAGCTGTCCTTATGTTTTTAACTCCGTTCATATTACGATATACGGAGTATAATATACTGTATAATATACTATACGTATAATTTTACAAGTACAGCAACTTGCTGATTTCAACCTTTTTTAGAAGACATGCGTTCCTTATGCATTTGGATCGTCATTGCTGGCTTTTCATTACAAGTGTCAGAATCTCTGGAAATTCCGGCGACTCCCATCGGATTTCAGCCGTGTTAATCGATTTCCGGCTCCCCAGTTCACAGTATGGATGCATCTACATAGAGGGCTGCATACAAATCTAGAATGAAATCTTGAAATGTTCATCTGCACTTGGAGAGTTTGAGTCTAGTCTGGAGAATTTACCATTGATGGGGTCTTGTTTCAGCGTTGAAGAGGAATTCCTACAACCAAGTAAATCGTCAAATCGGGAATCGGGTATTTTATACTTTTAGTTTAATTGTTTCTTTGATCTATAAGAGTCTCATTATTATTGACTTGAAACCAATAGTGGTGCTGTCATTGTTGCTTGCTTTAAATAGTGGTTTGTTTAGCAACTTAGTAATAGTAATAAATAATTCCTTTGAGCTGAGATGCAGTTATGGTAGCTTCCAAGTTTAGTAAAGTAACATTACTTCAAAAGTTCTGCTTACTGATTATGTGTGATGACATCATCATTGTCTTTCATAAATGGATTATTATTGAGTTGGATCTGATAGAGCTATCAGATTGCTCTGAAACTCGATTTACACTTACACTTGTGTTAACATTTCATTTGATACTATTCCAAATAGGATTCTTGTGTACGCTCAAACTTTAACTATTGTTTTGTGACGTATGGCATCACATTCATATGGTTAATGGGTACCATTATTTAAAGCTCTAACTCTCTGAGTACAGTTTTTGGATACATCCGAAAGGACTCTCTAAGTACATTTTTTTGGTGGCGACTCTCTACGTACATTGACACAGGTTATTTTAGCTTTTGCTTAACAAAGATAGTAAGAAGTGTACATTCACTAAGCACAATAATTTATTACAATAAGAGCCATTTGGTAAGAGTTTCATCACTTTCATGTCTGATATGGTTGAGTTTGCTGAATTTTGCGAAAGGAAAAGCCTTTGGTAAAATCACCAAATAAGTCAAAAGCTACTTATTTTGGTTATTCTGCTTGTAACCGGAATAAGCCGCATTTGCCTACCAAACTGGCTTGTAGTTATTCTTTTGAACACATAATTATTATCATTTTTTAAAAATAATGCAGTTAGCCCTGGATTTGCCCCATCACTAGCCAAAGCAAAGTATGCAACTCCGAGGAAGATATGTTCACCAGAAGCCAATGAGACTAATAGTGAAAGCAAGAGAGTTGTAATACCCAAAAATGTGAAGGACTTGAGACAAAGTCCTGGGAATAGTGATCTTGATCTATTCACTTATGCAGAAATGAAATTGGCTACCAAAAACTTTCGACCCAATAAAGTTCTTGGCGAAGGTGGGTTTGGCATTGTCTATAAAGGAGTCATAGATGAACATGTCAGAGCAGGGTACATAACCACTTGCGTTGCCATTAAAAAACTTGATCCTGAAGGTCATCAGGGTGATACAGAATGGCTGGTAATTTTCTGCAACACAACAAAGTCATGGATTATGATAAGATATTCAAATAGGCAAGTATTTGTTATGTTTACTTGGTAGTTTACAGAAGGATTGAGTTTATGCGATGTGAAAATTTAAAATTAGCTTTAAAGATAGTGTCTTAGAGCCCAGTTCCCCTGTACTATCCATTTTCATCTTAAAAATCCTCGGTGCTTATTGAAAATGCGTTCCTCAAGTTTTTTTTTCTTTGCTTTGCTTGTTTTAGCTAGTACTTTAGATATCTAGAGCTCTCTGTGACTACCGTGTTATCTTTTTTTCTGGTTATGTTAAAGTCTGGCTATGTGAAATTTATAATGAACTAAATGATAAGCTACGGATACATGATAAATTGTTTTTTTTTGTAACTTTCAGAAAGTGTATGTTCTCAGATCCAAACTATTGTTAGATGTAAACTTTTGTAGCTCACATAAATGGTGGTCTGTGGACTTGCTTTCTTGATTTTGGAAGACTGTCTATATATATATATGGAACCATTGTTTTCCTAGTTCTCCCTATAACTAGAACTAGGAAAAAACTTTTGATAGATGTAAACTTTTTTAGCTCACATAAATGCTGGTCTGTGGGCCTACTTTCTTGATTATGGAAGACTATGTGTCTATATGTATGGAACCATTTTTTCCTATTCTCTAATCTCTCTTTAACTAGAACTGCTCATATTAGAGATTTTTGCATAGTTAAAATCGAAATGGAAGAAAACATCCCAAATCTATGCTCAGTATAGTCATACTCTCAATAGTCGGGACCAAACCATAAATAATGTGCACACTAGGTTGTATAGTCAAGATCCATATATTAAAACAAAGGGTTCATCTTCTGAGGAACCTTTTTGTCTCTGTGAAATGCACACCATTTTCTTGGCACATTAATGCTAAAAGTTCATTTCTGAGAAAGCTTGCCGTTGCAGGCAGAGGTTAACTACTTGGGCCAGCTTCGACATCCGAATTTGGTGAAGCTCATAGGGTACTGCTGTGAGGATGAGCACAGGCTATTAGTTTATGAATACATGGCATCTGGCAGCCTGGAGATACACCTGTTTCCTAGTAAGTACATCACTCACATCTCACTTACTGACAATATCTGTCCTTATCTCTAATCATTGGGGTCCATTTGGAACTCATAAAAAAACTAGGGAAAGAAATTAGAAAGTAAAACATAAAGGAAAATTGGAAGGAAAGAAAATATGAGGGGAAATAGAAGATAGGCTAAAACTTAATATATGTATTCCAGATATTTTCCGGTAACCATTGTATATCTATGTCAAATATATAAAGACTGGGAAATCTAGATTTATGTATCTGTTTAAAAGTTAATCATAATTTTGTTCCATTGCGTTTTAATAGGGAAAACCAAACACAGGAATTTGGATTTCATTTGAAATATTTTTCCTTTCCGCTATTATTTTCCGGGTTTTAAGTGCACCCTTGTCTCCTTGAGAAAACCCTTAGCTCATGGAGTTCTTACTGAAGATGATTATTCTACACCTGTCCGTTTGTTATGTTACTCCAGAATAACAAGATAAACTTGAAGCGAATAAAGCTTTGGTGCTTGGGGATTTTTCCTTTGTGCTTGATTGTAATTATCTCATCTGTTCTTTTATGTATGTGAATGGAGAGCTGCTTGTACTATTAATTATCATTCGTGTGAGTTTTCTGCTCTCAGGAGTGTCTACTACACTAGCATGGTCGAGGAGAATGAGGATTGCATTGGATGTTGCCAGAGGGCTTGCTTTTCTTCATGGAGCAGATAGGCCTGTCATCTATAGGGATTTCAAAACTTCAAACATTCTATTGGATGAGGTCAGTATGTAATCCTTTTTGCTGTAATGCTGTGTCTTTTGCTTTCCGGTCTCATTCTGGACATCTTCATAATAAAAATATATAGTTGAAAGATTGTATTTTACATAAGCAAAGTATTTAATCTTTTGAGTTTTGATTAGACTTGTATGCTTTCATTCAGCGATGAGACCAGAATGGAAAAGCAATTGTTTTAACTGTTAAACCAGTACCTTAAGGTATATTTGGACCAAAATGCTATACTGCTATAGGAATAGGAAAATATATGTTAAGTGAAGTGATTTTCTTATATTCATCTTTACCTTAGAAAATGTGATTTAAAATGAAATATGGTTATAACCTTTTTTCCTTCTCTATAGAATGAAATTAAGTAAATGAAATAAGTTTGAGCAAATGTGTATAAGAACTTTATTGAGTTATATGTTTTCATCCATTTTTTCTGTCCATAGTATTTGACTGTTTTCCAAGCTCCAAATGGACCCTTAAGAATGGTCAGTAACCTTTATAGTTAAAATTTGAAATCACAGGAATTCAATGCAAAGCTTTCTGACTTCGGACTTGCAAAAGATGGACCCATGGGAGATCAAACTCATGTATCAACTCGAGTTATGGGTACTTATGGTTATGCAGCTCCTGAGTATGTCATGACCGGTGAGTATTGTGATTTACTTGTCCAATCCTATTTCAAGCCCAAAAAATTGTCTTTTTTGTCCCACTGAGCTTGAACTGCGACTGTAAAGTGACCAAAATACCCAAATCTATAAATAGGCTATAATCTGGAATCTGGACAGCAAAAGATCCTAAACAGCTCCCATCAGAACTTCTACACATGAAACCAAATGTCTTCTTATGTAACTGCTCAATGACTCCACCCTCACTACACATTGCCTGCCACCTTCACCTGCTCAATAGCCTCACTACCCAACGCCGCCAGCCCTTCCGCAAGCTTCTTCTTCCACCAAATAAACACTTGACCTTTTCATTATTCTTCTCAGACAATTTTCATCCATCAAGGTATCGGAGTTTTCTGGACACTTTCTTCATGGACCTCTTTCATCTGCCGCTTTCATACTGTGAGTGCGAGCGATATACTGCATCAGATCAAACATATAGAACTTTTGTGCATAGTGTTTCAGATCCTCACAGGGACACACCAAATCCAATACGAACAAAATATGATCACTGGGTCTTCAAGGCAGCTCACCCTTAGAACTTAACAGTGAGTTAGTGATGGAGGGATACTGAGATGGGTGCAGAAGCCTCTGAGCGGAATTGCTGCCATCTAAAACGTCTTTCTGATCTAACATAACTGTTTAAGTCTCTCACATTAGATATTTGTCGAATTGTGTCTAATATATAAATATTAGTAAATTTTACTTATTGACTGCCCTTTTAAGGAGACCTAGGCCCGATCTAATATGGTATCACAACTGTGGTCTCTTGGTTTGTTTGGTACCCCATAGTTTGAGGTAGTTGTTTTTAGTCAATTTGGCCCATTTATCCATTCTTAAAATCAAAAGTTATCCAACCTAATTTGGGCTAAGGGGATGTGTTAAGTGTCTCATTTAGGATACTTACTAGATTAATATCAATATTGTATGTGTGTGTCTATATGTGTTAAGCCTGATTTAGTAATACCAAAAATGGATGGAGAAGGCAGTGAGTGGAAAAACAATGGAATGTGGTGCAAGGCCAAGATAATTAGCAGCTCACCAGCCGAAAGGATGGAGACACAGGATGGAGGGGGGAGGGGATAGCAATAAATCTATGTTTTTCTATCTGGTTGCAACGAGAAAACGGGTGTGGGTTTCTATTTGGTATTTTGGTCAGTGCTGCCGCAAAAGGAATGGGATAAAATGATTATGCAGGCACGAATCATTAGTGGGTGTTTTGGCCTACAGACATGCTTAAATTACCCTAGGAGCAAATCCTATTTAGTGAATAAGTGATACTTAAGGAAATTAGATATGTTTTAGCCATATCTTGAATCAGTTATTTCATATCTCATCACCATTCTCCTCCATGCTCTTTGCAAAGTAAATGACTTTTGACACCAATTCAGGGCATTTAACGGCACGAAGCGATGTCTATGGGTTTGGGGTTGTGTTGCTTGAGATGCTATTAGGGAGGAGAGCAATGGACAAAAGCAGGCCAAGCCGAGAGCATAATCTCGTCGAATGGGCCCGCCCTCTCCTAACCCACACCAAGAAGCTCTTCAGGATATTAGACCCGAGAATGGAGGGACAATACTCGAGCAAGACAGCAGTGAAGGTGGCGAACCTGGCATACCAATGTCTCAGTCAGAACCCAAAGGGTAGACCAGTGATGAGTCAAGTCGTGGAAATACTTGAAGCCCTTCAACCACAAGAAAACGGCTCAGAAGCGATTCTTCAGAGCAGTGGCGGCACTGTCACCCTCTATGAAGTGCAGAAAGATTCATGTGAGAATGAGGGACACTAGTTTAAGTGTGGTAGTGAAAGAAAGGATGAGGTGCACATTCTTGTAGGCCAATGGAAGAAGCAAGAGTGGGACCCCAGATTGTGGTGATCTATATAGGCTATTTTGCTGGTGCATGAGCTTGATGAGGGATGTTACCAACTATTTTGTTCAATACTACTGTTGAAGCAAAGCTGAATCTTGAAAAAACAAAGAACAGAAAACAATGTTGAAATTTTGTACAAAATGTGGAACAATTGCTTCTCCATCGTGTTATTCTTTTCTCCTCGTTGGAGCTTCTTGGGGTATAATTACTTTTCGTTTACATCCAACTATATACTCCCTCCGGTGCTAAATAAACTTCACACTTTTCATTTTGGGTAAGTCCAAAATAAACTTCACACTTCTTCTCTCTTCCTTATTTGGCAAATTATCTACATCAAAACAGTGCAAAACAGTGTCAAACAGTGCCAAACAGTGTCACAACAGTGTACTCTACGGTAAAGTCAAATTTATTTCCTTAATTTGTGTGAAGTCAAAGTGTGAAGTTTATTTAAGACCAAAGGGAGTATGAATGAGTTCACCAAAACATGAAGTCAATCGTGTTGGGGTTTACACAAAAACATGCAATTTGATGATGAGTAATTCCTTTTTTTAAATAAACTTAGAATTTAGCTCCACCAATCCATCATATCTCATCTCTCTAGTTAGGGATGGACCCGGGCTGGTCCGGTTCCGGGCCGGGCCCGAGCGTGCTTTTTTTTCAAATTGTTGGGCCTAGAACCGGCCCGGGTTGATACCGGGTCCGGACCTAAATTGTTGGTTTTTTTTGCTTTCTAATTAACCCCCGACCCCCCCCCCCCCTTCACCCCCACCCCCCAAAACACCCAGCCCTAACCAAGAAAAACAAAAAAAATTGAAAACACCAAAAATAAAAATAAAAAAAGCCCGGGCTCGGCCCGAACCGCTTGGGCCGGTTCAACAAATACAGGGCCCGAGCCCGGCCCGCCCACCCTCCCCAACCGGGTAAAAGCCCGGGCCCGGTTAGCACCAACCGGGCCGGTCCGGGCCTGCACAGTGCCGGGCCTGCACAGTGGCGGGCCGGGTCGGGCTGACCCGGTTGGGTCCATCCCTATCTCTAGTCATAAGATCGAAGAACAACAACAAACGATGGAAATTTCAGTAGTGTGTGAAATTTCAAAGTTGTAGACCAGTAGCAATATGTTTTTCTCTTTAAATATGAGTTAATTAGTGACATTTTGAAATCATGTCATAATTTTGACATTACCAGAAATTAATATGGCAATATTAATGCCATAATTTGCAATATTTTCATAACATGACACTAAACACTCGTTGTTTTGTTAATTCTTCCTAATCGATTATAGTATCTATTCTATATTAAGGTCAACATTCTTGAACAAATGACATATTGCTTTGGGTTGATTTTTATGGATTTACAATTCATTTTTGTTTGAAGCTGATTGAGCGAAGGTTACCAAATAAGAATGATAATATGTTTTGGTTTGGTTCAATTTAGATCAGATCCATTTGAATTTGTAATCTTTTTTATCCGGTTCATTTTGTTCAGTTTGTCATGGTTTTGGTTGGGTTCAATTAGTTTTAATCTTTCCACTCTTAGAAAAACATATCATCCTATTTGGAATTTGATATTATTCCTTACTCCTATTTAACACAATATCTGCAAGGATAACAATATACTTCACAAGAAAAAAAAACATAATACTCTTGTCCGAGTTTGACAGTCCCAATTTGATCTTTCAAATAAATAAAATTAATAAATGATGTATACTTTGAACATTATTACTCCCTATATACAAATACATATTACTTTGTAATAGAAACTTATAATAATTGAGTATCCTTAAATAAATACTGCATGACTACATTTTATTAAAAAATACTACCTCCGTTCCACAAATCTTGGCCAATTTGATTTTTCTTGGTGAATGTGAATAAACTTCGGATAATGATTTTAGTTATTATATTTATGTGAAACTTATTATAACTTTTATACTTTTATGAAAGTACTTTTAACAAAGAACATTTTGATATAATTTTCATATTTGAAATAACTACATATTAAAAAATATCAAGGGTCAAACTTGGCCATCATTGACCGAGAAAAGTCAATATGGCCAAGTTTTATGGGACGGATGGAGTACAATTTATTATAATCAACGATTAAACATAGTAAAATTTAACTGAGTCAAGTTTAAATTATCAAAATGAGGTAACTAAGGGCACCTACTATGGAAATATTTAGCAATTTAAGTTATTCTGAAATTCATCACATTTATATTTGCAGTCTGCATAATTTTAACTTTTTACTAATAGAAAATTAAATATATTAAACGGTTAAAGTGTTGATAAATGTGAAAATGGAAATGTTGAATTTGTGGGAAATATGACCGGAGGTGTGTGATAAAATTTCAACGTTAGGGTTATATTTTGTCTATAGTTATGCACTTATGCATCCTTCATATCAAATATCTAAAAAATTTAAACAAATTTTACTGACCTCCAAACTTGGAATGCCCGGACATGTATTGTAACACAAATCTTTGATGTTTTCTTAGTATGAATCCAAGTATCTACTTTCTCAAAAGGCAAAGTGTAGAATTATTGAAAAACAGTTCATCCTAATAGATCTTACTGTCTCTTGATTCTTGAAGATATAATTGGTATGATAAAACAATAATATTATAACCCGAGCTAGTGTATTTAAAGTAATTCTCTCATTTATGTACGCTTGACATGAAAACCAAAAACCTAAAAGCAGTGGCGGATCTAGCTCATATATTTTGAGTGTTCAAACTAACATTAAAATTATTTTTCAAATGATAGTATTAATTTATGCAAGAATTATCCCAATGCATCATTTTCAATAAAAACTACAAAACGGCTAATAAATTATAGCACCATTTTTCTAATAAAAAGTACTAAATTGTCAATAAAATAAATTAGTACACGGTTTTCCTTTTCTACTATTTTTAAAAAGATCTAAAATGATGCGGCTATTTAACCACTCTGCTCCAAAAAAGACAGCTCACACAGAATAAGATTTAAAGATGTTTTTCTTTATGCTAATGTCCAACATGACGAATTGAGTCGGTGAGTTGACCACTTGTTCGATTACCACAGATCCTAAACTCAAGCATCGTTCTTCCATTCATCGTCTACTTCACACACTCGGGTTAGGGTAGATATTTGGAGCATAGATTGCTAAATTAGGGTGAAAAGATTGAAATATTTCTAGCGGCACTCGAATACGTGTGAGGATTTTGAGACATAGATTGCTAAATTTGGGCAATTGTTTTTTGAGACGGACTGAATTGGTAGTCTCAGGGGCCAATCTTCAAAATGACGCAAATACTTTAATAAAATGCAGCAAACATCCTAGTTCTAGTTATTGGTTTTTGAAAATTTAGGGTGTTCGAGTGAATACCCTTGAACAGCACCAGGTCCGCCACTGCCTAAAAGTCTTATACATGACAAAATTGAAAATCCACAACACCAAGAATCGATTACAATGTGGAAATGAAATGATAAATTTGAAATTAAAGTGGAAAGAAAATAATTAGTAGTTTGTAATGATGTAGAAGGTGAAATGGTAGGATTGCATAATCGTATGGCTAGGAAAAAACAACCCTTTTAAATATTATTTAATTTAAATATAATAACTACAAGTACTAAACGGAAATGAAAGTGGAATACAAGAGGGGAAAAAATTCTTTTAAGCACCCCTAAATCATTTCAATTAAATTGTTTAAAAAATTTGTAACAACTTCCAAATCATTCCTAAAATGGATAAAGAGTGAAACATCATAACATGAAAGTGGAAAAATTAAAACATCAAGACTGCATGTGTTAAAATTTGTTAAATATAAATTTGTCTTAATGCTATCTAAAATTTATGTGCACCTTTCTAATTAAGGATATTTTCAATTGGAATCATTTTTTTCTCATTTATGAAAGTAAAAGTTACTTTTATTTTAGTGTATATATTAATATAATATTAATATGTTTTGGCCGAGAGTTTCATCTCTCGGAAAGTTTTATTAATTACATAATAACAATCATATGATAACAATCATAAGAGCTAGATAAATAAGTTATACTGTAAATAAAAGTAACGAAGTAATTCTTTTACTCATGAATGTAACTTTGATATAGTACTATTTGGTTATGCAAATTGAGATCATTTTTCGTTTCTGAATATGGGACACTTATCTTTTTATTTTTCATTGCATAATTGACATGTTCATGTTTCGATTATAGCTACCTCTTGATGTGATGAGAATCTTTTTTATAGTTTTATTTATCTAGGTAAAAATTGTCTATTAAAAATCTAAAGTATGTAACTTTTCTTCGTTCAATAACGCTTATTTTACTTAATAAGATCATGTATACCTTGAATAACTCAATCTAATGAAAAATAAATCGATCACTACCAATCACAATATGCAACCTATTGTCACCACCATTGCCTTCATTAAAATCGAAATGTCACAAACTATATATTATAAACTCTTTTCTTAAAGAAAGAGATCAAAAGACTAAATTGAAAATTTCCAAAACCTATAAGGATTAATATCTCCAAAGAAATTGACTACACCCATTTTTAGATAAATAAATTACAAAAAAGTGTAGTTAGTTTTGAGAAAAGAACAGTAAACCTCGAATGAAATTTAATAGATAAGAATAAGCATTGAACATTTTCCTTTTGTTTAGGTAAAAATAGATTAATTTCAATTGAATGCAACTGAGATTTATAATAAAAATTGTTCTTTTTATTGGAAAATATAAACTAAAAAGATGTTTATATAATTAGTTCAAAAATAAAGCATACTAAATAAATGAGAATATGCATTGTGAATATGTTATAATCGACTAAATAAGTGATATTCCGTGACTAGTAATGATACTAGTAGTAGTAGTAATAAGAACTAATTATATACTCCGTATTTAAGTGTAATGATTATGATAATAGTTTTAATCAGAGTAGCATATGCTTAATTTATACAACTAATTGACTGACACTATAGTGTGAAAATCTTTAATCATGTTTTTTCAAATAAGGTTTATTTGTGTAATATATTTTTAAAAAATTCTCTAATAATAATAATGATAATGATAATGATAATAATAATATTAATGATAACAACACATAGAGCCCGTTTGGTGACTATTTTTCGGTTTATCATGAACTTTTTCACCAAATATGTAACTTTTGATTTTGCGATGAATTGTGTAATAATCAAAATAAGTAACGTGAGAGTTACTTTTATGGCTGAAGTTACTGTTGAGAACTATTTTAGTTATTTTTCATATAAAATTTTCTTGATTTTATTAATAAAATATAGGGAAAATTACACTTTTGGTTCCTCAATTAGTCACCATATTGAAATGTCAGACTCGTGTTTATGAGATTGTAAATGTCACTCCCGAATTGACAAATGTGTTGTAAATGTCATCCACGATAAATTTATTAGTAATCCAGAGTTTGAGATGAATTATAAACGATGGAAATGATATTTACAACACATCTGTCAGTTGAGGGTGACATTTACAATTTCAAAAACACAGATATGACATTTCAATATGGTGACTAATTGAGGGAACAAAAGTGTTTTTTTCCTAAACAACAACGTCCAAGCCTTAATCCCAAAAGAATTTGGGGTCAGCTAACATTAATCGATCTATGATATCGATGTCAAAAAGAGAAGACGGACAAGAAAAGGAAAAAAAAAGTAAGATAAAATGAATAAAATAAAGATAAATAAATATAGGATAACAATAACACAAGAATATAACAAAGATAAAAGATAAAAATTAAAAGAGCATAAAAAGCTAGAAGATAAAAATAACATAAGAATATAAAAAGATAAGGAAGATAAACGATAAAAGAAAAAAGAGATGAAAGGTAGAATATAATTTTTTTCATATTTCTGCAGAATCAGCCAAACCAATTACTTCGAAACCACTTTTGTTCACCCTCCTTTGAGAGAGTGATGTTCACCTCCACAGCTCCACCCTATTTGCCTGCTATGTGGCAAGGCAATACTTTATAATTTGACAATTATTATTTTTTATTTTTAATCATTTTTTACGATCTTTCTTATTGTACTAATATTGTGTATGAAAAAATTAAAAAAAAATCAACTAAAAATAGATATTTACAAATATATTTTTTCAATTTTTTATATATACAATATTGATACCATGGAAAGATAATAAAAAATTAAAAAATCTGATATATATTTTTTTATAAAAAATTAGATAATAAATAAAAAAATTATAGCATTTTAAAGAAAAAAGGAGTTGGATTGTTGGAATGTCACATGACAACCATAGAGCAAAGAGGGTGATGTTCACCCTCCTTGGAAGATTGGAGGGGTGAACAAAACTGCACTCAAATAACCAATTCAACCTAGGCGTGGACTCGGGCCAGGTCGGGCCCGGGCCGGACCTAGGCCCGGTCGGGCCGCCGGTTTGTATGACATGGGCCCGGGACCGGACCGAGGGTTGGACGGGTCCGGTTCGGGCCACCGTCCCGGGTCACGGGTCGGGCCACCCGCCGGGTCGGGCCGGGCCGGTTAAAGATTTTTTTTTATAATTTATATTTTATAGTTTTATACAAGTATTAAAAACAAATTTCAAGTGCATTTATTTGAAATGAAATAGGAACTACATTTGAAAATTAAAACAAACTTCAAAGAGACAAACATTTTGTAAATTGTAATCAATCGGAACTTCCAGCACCTCCTGATCCTTTGGCTTTGTCACATGACTTCATATGCTTCATTGCCATCCCGTATCCGCCTGAAACACCCATGCTACATTTTTTCCCGCACCATTTACAAGTTGCGTACCACATCCCAGTCTTCGGGTCCTTCTGCTTATCAAAATTATACCGTATAACGGCATCTTGATTTTCCATCTTAAGTATAAAGTAGATATATAAATAATAAATTAGTAGAGAATAGAGATTAGAGAGTAGGAATATTTGGAGAAGATGTTTAGTAAATTGTATAGAAAAAATGGAGTATTTATAGTTTTTTTGTACCCCTACCCCCCCCCACCCCCTAACCCACCCCTGGACCCCAGGAAGGCTCCCAACGGCTATATAGCCGTTTGGGTTCAATCACAACGGCTCTAAGGGCCTGTTTGGTAGCCAAAAGAATTTTTTTTTTTAAAAAAATAGAGCCGTTGGCCCGAACCGGCCGGGCCGGGCCTTCCTTTTTGTGAACCGTGCCCGAACCGCTAGCCTCCCCCGGGCCGGGTAAAAGCCTGCACCGCCCATTCCGTAACCGGGCCGGGCCGGGCCGGGCCCACACAGTGGCGGGCCGGGCCGGGCCGGGCCCACACAGTGGCGGGCCGGACCGGTTCAGGGCTGGGCCAACCCGGTTCGGTCCATCTAGGGATGGACTCGGGCCGGGTGGCCCGACCCGGAACCGGCCCGGGACCGGCACTGTTCCGGCCCGGCCCGACCCGGTGGCCCGGTCCGGGTAGGCCCGGCCCGTGGGTTTTCAGGTCCGGGCTCGGGTCACCCAAAACAAGGCCCGGGCCCGGTTCGGGCCAAATTTTGTTTTTTTTTTTTGTTTTTTCAATTTTTTTTAACTTTTCGGGTTGGGCTGGGTATTTTGGGCCATTTGGGGTGGTTTGGGGGGTTGGGGGTGGGAGGGGGGTTAATTAGGAAGAGGAAAACAAAAAAATATATATATAATGGGTTTGGCCCGGACCGGACCCGGTGGTTACCCGGGCCGGTCCCGGGTCCACCATTTCTGACCCGCCGGCCCGCCCGGGCCTAGGCCCGACCCGGACCCGGCCCGGACCCGAGTCCAACCCTAGGTCCATCCCTAATTCAACCTATTTCGTCCATCCCTAATTCAACCTATTTGTTACCAAACAGGTTCACAAGTCATACTCCGTAATATATTAGGTGACCGCATCAGTACAAGATCATAATCTCAATTTTTATCAAGCTATTTGCACAATGTTTTTTATGTAGTAACTTTTGCCATTTGAGAGCTACTCCAGATTACATTGGAGCAGATTTTATCTTGTAGCTTTTCCTATCGCTGCTTTTAACTTCTAAGTTCCAAGTTCTTGCCAACCATATGGATGTCCCATATAATTGCGAGAAAATCAGAGAAGCCAACTAGCCAAGGTAATGCCAATCTTAAGTACTAAATCTCGAACACCTTTAGAAATGCCCAATTCAGATACAAAATACGTAGTCAATTTATGAAACGCGGATTTCGAACTACATCATTTGCCTCTCTGAGAATACACATCTCAATTTTCCTGCTTGCCAGCCCACTCTGCTTTCATCTTGTCACACAGCACTTTTCTGAATGATTAATAAATATAAATAATAATAAAATCCAATTAGAGTCCGCTTGAAACGCAAAATATTAACAACAGAATTTATACATGCAAATAAAGAGGATATTTGAAAGGGAAAAGTTTTGGGTCATAGTAAAAGATAACCTCAAGCATAATTCAAATCTCATTTTATTTAATTACTAGTACTATTTAGTTCTATATTATAAAGACGAGGAATCTGAAAAATGTGAAGTTATTAAAAAAGTTAAACTTATATCTGCTTTACTTGGGCATTTTCAATGTGAAATCAAATGTAAGAAGAGAATTTTCCTTCTCTAGCATTTTGTGCTATCAGCCTATCACTATGACACATCACAAAGTTGAGAAATAAACAGCATAAAAAATCAACTAAAGGTATACCACAAAAGTTCTCAAGTTTGTACCAGAAAATTATTTAAATATTTCAAATGGGCCAAAAAATTTAATAACAAAAATAGCATATCTAATACTAGTATGTTGCACATTCACTGTTGAAACTTTAATTTCGAGTCTTCGAGACATATTGCTGAATTAGAATTTGAAGACATTATAGTGTTTAAATAGTCTGGGTGGCAAAGAGTAACTAACCCCAAATCTGGCGCAAGGTGAATGCCACCTGCATGACAGATCTTCTATCTGCGACACTAGAAAATTCCATATTTACCACTTGTTGAAATGCAAACAAGAGTTCGCGCTTTGTTTTTACAGAAAGAATTATGTAATCTGGACCGTGAGTGGTGCACAGTTCTGCCACCTAAGTGGAAGATATAATTAGAGAGCGATTTAGTCCTAAATACTCACTCCCACACAACTTACACATCCTTCAAATAATGAATGAAAAACACCTACTAAGTTGTCTAACTATAGAAGACTCCATACAATTATATAATTTATATTATTTTCAGTTATCAATTTATCATAATCTTTACTTACAATCTTTGTAAGTAATATTGTAATTATTATTATTATAGGCTCTTAGTCATTGTATACATAGTACTCCGCAGTACAAACCAGAGCATGCATCAAGCATTTCAGCTCTAAGGGTACAGAAAATATAAGAGTCTACATTTTGAAACACGCAAAAAAATGTATGGAGAAAAAACAGTAGGGAAAGTAATTAATAGTGTTGTAAAATATGAATAGAACAAACAGTAGAAAAGTAGGGGGAAAATATGAAAAAGTAAGTAGAAGTTGACAAAAACGGAAATGGGACACATAACAAAAAACATCCTGAAAAGAAATAAGGGGACAAATAGAAAATCGGAGGGAGCATTTAAGCATAAAAATCCATAAAGTTGATAAAAAGCTTACCTGTTGAAGCCAAGGGAGAATGGAGTTCACAAACCTTTGTTCCAAGAAATATGATGCAAGAATTTTCAAAAGATCACTAGCAGTCTTTTGTGATATGTTTTCAAGAACAGGACCTGTTCTGTCAAGCAGCTGAAACAAAATAAGTTCATTCCCTGAACACAGTGCCTCTAAATAAGCAGAATCTAGATCCCCGTTCAGCAAATGCCCTTTCACAACTCTCCACATTGCACTCTCAATCTCTATGCTATTTTGTTTGTCAGTTTTCCTAGTTTGACAACTACGGGCTCCGCTTGCAGAGCTTCGCTGAGTAGTGCTACTTTCAAGAGGATTTTTATTTTGTTTTGCTGCTGCATCCATCGATATATCCCGACTTTGTTTAGTAAAACCACTTGGTCTGCTCTTAATGAATTCCTTTTCTGCCCAAACATCTGTATCTTTTGAGTGCAACAATGGCACCTGTCTATGACATAAATCAACAGATGGCCTAGGAGTGTTTGTTGAGAAACGAGGAGAAGCAACAACAGTAGTTCTTCTATTAAGCTTTGTTGTCACTGGATCAGAACACTTCATACCATAAGCAAGTTCTTGTGCCATTCTATCAACTCTGCCCTCAAGGCCAGAGACCTTCATCTGTACCAATGACAGAGTATCTACTATGTTTGCAGTGACCTCCTAAACATTGTATGTACAGTATAATATTAGTATCGGCAATTGAAAGGATTATGAAAGTTTTGCATAAAAAGAATGTCAAAGTTATTAAATGCCGAATTCCTCCGGAAAAGCTAATATGAAAATTATATAGGAATCAAAGTTTTGCTATGTTATCCAAGTATGAAAGTATGAAACTTAAAAAAGAAAGGATCTCAAGTTTTGCTATGTTATCCAAGTATCCAAAATAAAATAAAAAACTATTAAAAAAGAAAGGATCTCAAGTTTTGCTATGTTATCCAAGTATCCAAAATAAAAAAAAATAAAAACTATTAAAAAACATTACATTCCTTGCAGACAGACTACTGAGTTTGGTGATCCTCTCTTCTGCCATTGAAGTTAGCCAAACACTAATGTTACACGAATTTCTTAGGCTCATTTAGGGGATACCAAAGTGAAGGCAAATAAGAAATTCAAACAAGAATCCAATAAGGCACTGGATGATATTTAAAACAGAATGAATTTCAAGTTTGATTTCGTTGTGCTAGTATCCCAAAGCAATAAGAAACATATTCCTTGAAGATGTACAAAAAACAATATGAGTATTGAATTAGATATTTTTTTGCCAGACAAATGTTACACATGTTTCCTATGCTCATCTATGCTATTTGTGGTTTCAGTGAAGGGAAGTTGGCAAAGTTTGAATTTCTGAAACAACTAAAACTCGTGACCTCACAAATGAAGTTCATTGGAAGCCAACACAAAAGAAAATAAAAAACATAAAGACACTACCCAGCAATGCTCTAATAATGTGCTTCATTCATGAACTTACTGTGAAATACATATTATCACAATTAAAGCATAGCCACACACCCGGTGGCGGTAGTCCAGTCAGCTATCTATTGTTGTTCATGTAGAAAGACATGACTTACATGGAACTAAACTAGAATAATCAAGGCATTTATCAAAAAAAAAAAATCAAGGCTTCCTCCACTGGTCACATCTAGAATCTATAAGAACTTGTGATAACTTTCACCAATAGGAGTACAATAATGGAAGAGTCGAATGGTATATGACATATTGTCATGATTTAATAAAATTATGATTATCCATATTGTTTAAGATAGCTAACCAGATTGGAGCTTGAGAAATACCTTTAACAAATCTGCAAAATTAGCCTGAGTGTCTTGAATAATTAAGAGCTGCTTCCGAATGTATTTCATTTCGTCTGCAATGTTTGGGTAACATCCATGTATTGAGTTGGAGATTGATTCGGTAATTATGGAATCTAAGCTTCTCCGGTCCTGCACCTTAGACAAGTTCCTTTGCTCTTCCAAAGTCATTACCCCGCCAGTACACTGCTCATTAGTTATAGTGGATGTATCCATACTAACCTCATCAAGAACCTCATGAGAAACTGTCACATCCTTGGCATGAAAGTTATCAGGGAAAATATTTGACAAAGAGCAATCCTGCTTGTCATCTATGTGCACAGATTCATATTCGACATCATGGGAACATATAACATCAGATCCCCTTTCAATAGTCTTTGTAACAGAGCTGCGATCTGGCTCTGTATTTTGAGCCTCTGATGTAAATGTATTATTATGCCTTCTAGGGAGAGCAATTTCTATATGCCAGTCATTTGCACTAGAGTACTGAACCTTTTCAGCATTATTTTGGCCAGACTTTCTGGAGTAATGAGGAAGTCTGCTTTTGAAATCATGGGCAAATCTTTTAGGAGTGGCATCCTTTGATACCGAATCACTTGTGCTAGTGACATCGGCAAAATCATCCTTATAGATATTTTCTGCAAGGTGCAGAACACCATTTGAGCAGAAAAAGCAAAACCAATGATTACTACTAAGTAGGCACAAAATTGAAAATGTTAAAGAGAGGAAGTTATTGACCGTGTAGATGACTAAATATGACATTCAAGTCCAAATAACATACTCCAACCGTCCCACTCTACTACTTCTCCAGTTTACTATTCATGTGGTCAACATGATTTTTTTTGTTCTCTGATTTTGAGTATCAGCATTTTATCATCGAAAGTCAGTTTTCGCTCTTACATAGAACTTTTTGTGTAGTTTCTTAATATCTAAAGTTAAATATTAACACTAATTCAAATATTGTCAGGGAGGAATTGACTTTGTCATCTGTCAACATGCGGAAACCGTGATCAGTAATGCTGAGTGGGAGGGAGGGTGTGATTAAACAGAGATTCAGAGCCCATCTGGTGTGGGATGTTTGACTGAATCTGCTAAAATTTCATAAATGAAAAACATCTGGTAAAATCCATTTGATTTTTAGCAAAATAAATAAGTCAAAAGCTGTTTATATTGAACAGGCTCTTAACATCTTTAAAATTTTGGGTTTCGCACTATTAGACTTCAAAATGTTTTTTTAATGAAACATAGAAAGTTCCAAACCTTTGAGAGAAGAACCAGTTTCTGAAGGTTCGTGTGTATCGGGCCCCGGAAGACTCTTCCAGAGGTGCAAGGCTTGCAATGCTGTGTCCCTGACCGGTTTGACCTGGGAAAAAATGAAAATAAATCTAGAAGGTCCAACTTCATATTCAGCAAATGGAAGGTTTAGCTTTGAAATGGACCAACTGCTAAACTGCACAGAGCACTCACCTTGTCAAATCGGCATGCTTCAAGAGAACGGATGCAAGAAGTTTTAAAAGAGCGAAAACCTGTTCCACCACTAGAAGCTATTTCCCCTAATGCAGCACTAGCAGATTTCCTTGTTGCCCAATCACTGTTCTTGAGTGCATCTTGTATGCTCATAATAGCAGTTGACAAAACATTGAGGGAAGGAGCACCACCGGCCTGGAAAACATGTAAAAAGGAAAAGGAAGCAATTAGCTATGCTACAATAGAAGACTAATTTCCTTGAGCAAGAATAATTTAATCCGCTTTTAGCATTTTCGTATCATAATTTAAAACAGAAGTATTGGACTGTACTTCATAAAAAGTGTATTAAAAAAGAACAACATCTTACTTGAATGATACTTCTATTCAATTCAATGACAGCAGGCTTTGCCATGAAGTGTGGATTTTTTAGCAACTTAACAGTCCTAGCTAACATTTTCTGCAAAACCGATGTTGAGGGATTCTGGATATTGTCTATGACCCGCGCCAAACATAGTGCAGAACCAGATTGCACTTGCTTATTTTGCTCTCCCAGCGCCTCAAAAAGAGGTCTGACCAAGACAACAAAAAATCCGTCATTTTCGGTATCACTCCCAACACGACCGAGTTTAGCAGCCAAAATCCCAACTGTCTCCACGCAAGCATCTCTCACAACAGAATCTGAATCCTTCAGCCTCTTAACAATGCCGGCAAGCACCTTTGTGAGATGTGGGCCCACATGGTTATCATGGAGACTGGTGAGGATGCCTATTAATCGAACACATTCCTTACGAACTGCACTTTTCTGTTCTGAATCTGTATCTAATATACAAGACAGAAATGGGGCGATCCCATTTGGGGGTAAACACTCAATAATTTTCTCAAGTTCCTCCACTGCAACTTGATATGTATCCCTATCAGCGAGCTTGTTCAGTGCAATAACCACCCGGTGCTTAAGTTCAAAAACAGCCTGTTGGCTGTTCATTTTTGTATTTCCTTTCCCTTTCATCATATATTTCATGTCTAGATTTCTATCCTGCACAATCATAACCTATCAGCTCACGGCAATACATCAAAATTGCACTACATTCAATCACATCAATACAAGCAGCATACTCCGTACTAGTTTTGTTTAACGAAAAACTTCTCAGTTTTGCAAGCATAACAATACAAAAGTAGATACTCCACGTGAAGCAATTTTGAAAAGCTAGAAACCTCATAAGAATATATATATCTCCAACTTCAAAGCTTCAAAATGCCTTTTTCTTTTATTTTTTAAAAAGTAGCACTGGAAACTAAACTACAAATAAAGGAAACGACAAGCGCAGAAGAACACAATGGATAAATACCTTATGGCTTCAACTTCCATTAATGTGACCTGTGGAAGAAATGAAAGCAAATTCAAGTATAAAAACGAAATCATAATCGAAAGCTGAATAACATATGCATCAGAGAAAGTGAGTAGAATAGTCTAAGATCAGAGAAACAAACAAAAAGACGTGAGGAAGAAGTAGTCACAGGCTGCGGAAGGAGAATTGAAGGATAAGCATCTTCGATTTCGGGAGAGAAAAAAGAAGAAATGGACAATATTGAAAATGAAGCCGAGCACAATAACTCCTAGGACCTGACAACAAATTTTGAAATTCTTCAAGTAGAGAGAGAGAGAAGTTACCGAGCTTAGCCCGTAATGAACAAGTATAGTAAATAATTGGATAAAGGTACTTTTACAGCTTCAAATTCCTCCATACCTGAGGGATACTCGGTAAATATTATAGAGCAGTTCAGTGGAAGTAGGGAGAAGTAGAGGGCGAGCGGGGATGAAGGGGTGGGTACGAGGGGGTGGGGTGGGGTGGGGGTATGTGTTAGTTTTGGCGGTCGGGGGTCGTGTTTCAAATTCGGAAACGTGGGACCTATCTCAGATGTAGTCCGAATGGTGACTTGCCACCTTTCATACGAACAACTGGTCTACTGAGTATAGTGTATTTTTCGGAAGGGACTAAGAGGGTGTTTGGATCTGATTCTTAAAACTGATTCTGCTTTTTCAGGGAGCAGAAGCAGAAGTTGCAGTGTTTGGGTGAAAGTACAGAAGTGATTCTGATGCTCTAATTTACTCCTAGAATCAGTTTTTTTAAAAGCTGGGGGTGACCAGCTTCTGAAAACTGATTCTGATTCTGCTTCTTCTTTAAAAAAGAAGCAGAAGCAGAATCAGTTCCAAACACCCCCTAAGTCGGGAGGATAAATTAGACAGATAGAGTGTGGACTCTATCCCGGTGTATTTTTCCTTGCGTTTCTACTCTATGTTGAGCCTTGTCGACAGGGCCATCTTTAGTTGATTTGGTGGCCTAGACAAAATCTAAAATTACATTTTTAGTATTCATTAATAATTAATGTTTTCTACAATAAGTTATATATATTAGTTAATTAAAAGTACCCAATTATATTTTTTGAACAATTATCTTTGTAGTACATAAAATAGAAAGCCTACATTTATAAATCTATTCTTCTTCCCTTCAAAAGTGTAAAAATGTGTGATTTAAATAATACATTTTTCTATTAATTAGTAACTTAGCCAGCTTATGTATCATGTGGCCGCCACTATTGATTGAAGTTATATTTTTACAATATTCTTTTTTCAAAATAATGTTTAATAAAATTTATTTACAATAAAACAGTAATATTGTTAGTACTAAATTATAATCACTTGTATTACAAAATTCTGAATATATATTTCATAATGTATTAATTAAGAACACAGATTTCTTTTCCTTAATCAATTTTAGATTTTATTGAATATATTATAGTCCTCCCTAAAACATACTGATATTACTAAAATTGTACTCGTAGAAGAAAAAAGATTGAATTTATCAATCACCTTCATTTTTTCATACAAAAAATTTATTCCTTGAAACCTTGACTTTTGTCTTGTGTTTCTACATACCGGCCGTAGTTTTTAAGTAGTTTAGAAGTATTGTAGAATTTGTAGTTTGTAGAATTTTAAATCGCCAATTATTGATAATGAGCTACACTAAAGCCTATGTCACTTGATACATAGATAGATATAGTACAATTTTTACTCCGTATTAGTTTTGCTTTTGTTCTATTTCCTTTTAGTTTTAGTGAATACAAGTGCTATATATAGCCATTATATAACAATAATAGTTTTGTTTATTGAAATTAGTGCACCAAGTTAAAATGGTGCCCTAGGCATATGCCTTATGCCTAGGTGCTTCCCATGTATAGTCGGGTCTGCTTGTCGAGATGAGAATGGTGTCTTGGGTGGGGTCGTCTGACAGAAGCAATGAAGCATCGAGACGTGGACCTTTAAATATCCGACATTTGAAGTTTTGATCTGACGATCCCTAAAAAATGCGCATTGTGCCTTGCTTTAAAGCAAGACAGTGGTTTCGGATCCATTAACTGTATAGAGAAGTAAATTTGAGTTGTTTGAATAATTCATTAGATTCTAAACGTTTGTCTATATATCACCCCATATGAGTAATTATTCTTAACTTGTATATTAAGATGTAAAGGTGTAATGGGAGTGTAGTTAATTAGTATTCTAAACGTTTTTTACCTATTGAAATGATTTTAAAAATATTTCAAAACATTTTTACACCTTTTTAGTGTAAAGGTGTAAATTCTTAATGTTTAGAAAATATTCTTAACTCGAAATATTAGTGTAAATATGTGAGAATAAGGTGAAAATTTATGGTTGTAGTTGAATAAGGAAAAAGTAAATGAATGGTAATTATTTTTTGGGACGACCTAAAGGGAAAGTTAAGACTATTTTATGAGACGCGTGACAATATATTTTAATGTCAAATTTACTTTGTACACCCCTATGAAAAGTACCTCAGTAATTATCCATTTTTATCATTCGTTTTAGGAAGAACATACTTTATTAAAATAACATCTAAATGGAACTAGTAACTTGATCGAAGAGTGGTGGGAGTATTTTATTACATATTCACAAGGTTATACATTATGGCATATTCTATTCGTACCTTAAAACTTTATCAAATGTTTTTACTTAATCTTCACAAAAAACTTTATCATTCCATTTAAAGGTAATAAATACGTGGCTACATTTATTTTTTCTCTTCTACATAAATATTTACAACATAATTTTTACTTTATACTCCGTATTTTATGCTTCTTCACTCGGGGCGGGCCTCGGGCCTGGTCCTGGTCAACCGAGTCAGGCCTGGCCTGCACAGTGCTGAGCCAGGCTGGGCTGGGCTGTGCCTAAACGATCCTGTCCCAGTCCACCCTGATGTGTTTTTAGTTCAGGTTGGCCTTTCTAATTGCTTAGAAGTTAGAACGCAAATGGTATGAGACAGTCATTAAACCACCGCCAGAAAACAGCAATTGAATTAGATCAATTGGCCTTTTCAGTTTGGTCGATGTCAATATTGGGTTTTGGGTTGGGTCATCTCACCCCTACGGCTACACAATCTACATACGTGATATGCCTAAAGCGTTCTTACTAAAACTATAGTATAATACATTCTACATTCTACATTTTTATTTTATGGTAATTTGCCATTTTTTACTACTCAACAATTGAATAGCTTGTAGTGTAGTAGTCTACATGTAACGACAAGTCTAAATTAATTAATCTGTTGAAATAGCCAATATTGATAGAGAATGTTCAACAAAGTTTGTATTAATGATATTGTGAAAATAAGTATACATACATATAAATTATAGGTATATACTCTCTTCTCTTCGTTCTTTTTTAGTTGCAACGGTCAAGATTTCACATTTGCCAACACACGTCTTTGACCGTAATCATATCTTAATTCTATTAGTAAAAAAATATTAAAAAACAGATTTTGAAAATTTGTAATGAGATGAATTGAACAATATTTTTTTTAAAAATAATTTTCATAAAATAATAGCGTAAAATGTAGTCAAAGTAGAGCATGTGAATAATGTAAAATTCAACATGTTGCGATTAAAACATATTGCAATTAAAATTACAGAGGATAGTATATTATAAATTTTATAACAAATTCATGTTTCAATAATACCTATATTAAAATAAAGTACTCAAATATATTTTAGTGTTATGACGTAACATATTATTTGAATAATTAACGATCAAAATCAGACAAAATTTGACATAAATTTGTCTCATACTAAATTTTCCAAATCTGTATTTTCTAATTTTTTTTAATTACAGGGAATTAAATATACTAATGGTCAAATTTTTGCATGAATTAATCTGTTCAAATAGCCAATATTGATAGAGAATGTTCAACAAAGTTTGTATTAATGATATTGTGAAAATAACTATATATACATATACAGTATACGTGTATATATTATAAATTCTATAACAAATTCATGTTTCAATAATACCTATATTAAAATATAAGTACTCAAAAATATTTTAGTGATATGACGTAACATATTATTTGAATAATTAATGATCAAAATTAACAAATTTTGACTCATCGTCCAAATTGAACAAATTTTGACTCAAATTGTCACATTGTGTTGTGTAATGAATGGAGTACAAAATTCTTTCTTCTAAATTGTGCATTTTAACATACTCTGTATAAGTTACTACGTATTACGTACAATTCACCTATACAATTGTTAATAAAACCAATTCCTTGATAACAATACACTACTTCTGTTTTTAAATAAGTGTAACATATTGAATTTTACACTATTCACACATTCTACTTTGACTACGTTTTATTTATTAATGTATTAATGATTTTTTAATAAAAATATTGATAAATTTGTCCCATCGAAATTTTCAAAATCTGAATTTTCAAATTATTTAGTAACAGGTAATTAAATATATTAATATTCAAAGTTTGTTTTTGCATTGGCAAACATGAAAGGTTGACCATTTCACTTAAATTTACGTATAAAACTAATATTAAAATTGATATTTAAAATTTACGTATTACAAAGTACCACATTAAATATGTTTTATTTTAGCACAAAAAGGAATAAAAACAAACAATGAGCCAAACATCCAATGTTTTTTGGAAACGAGATAATAATACAACAATTTAAGAAAATTGTTTTGTTCATTTACAATACTAGAGTAGTGTATTTATCTATTTTTGAGTGTCAGATTTAGGGGTGGGATCGGTCCGGTCCGGGTCGGGTTTTTTGCTAAACCCGGAAAATACCCGTAAGGTATCGGGTTATGAAAATTAGGGACCGAAACAAAGCCCACTATATTCGGTCCGAGTCGGGTTTTTTGTAGCCCGGGTTCGGTCCGGGTTCAGGTTGGGTCGGTAAAAGCCCGTATGTGAAATCACTCATTTTTCTTTTATATTTTAACAAATAAAATTAATAAAAAGTACATACCGCCAATGTTCGTAATTGCGTATTGCGTATTCATGGCGGATTTTTAGAATTGCATATTGCGTAAGCCTCATTGCGCAATGAGGCGTATAGCTGAGGCGTAAATATAAATAAACAAATAAATATATATGTATATGTATATATCAAAAAACATTATTCAATAGAAAACAACAAATGCAATTTCAAAACAAATCATAATGTTGGAACAATCTTAGGAAAAATAATCCTAAATGATAGCAAAAAATAATCCTAAACATATTAGATTGATGATTGAAAAATCGAATCATCACTATCTAGTATACATATATACCCTATATATGATGTGAACTTGAATAGTTGAATATTAACAGAAAATTTATAACTGAAAACATCAAACTGAAAACTAAACAGAACACTAATTGATAACATTAATATTAAGGTAGATTCTATGGTACCCATAAGGTACCATACCTTTGTTCACATGGACCAATGAGAATGTAGCAGTTGAATTATTTAAATCTAAATTAAAAATGATAAAATGGTGTGATCCAATCAAATGGACCTTTGTCACCTAATATTAAACATCAAACTGAAAAAGTGAAAACTGAACAGAACATCAAACTAAACAGAAAGTTAACATTAATATTAAACATTAAACTAAATAGAAAATTTATAACCGAAAACGTCAAACTGAAAACTAAACAGGACATTAATATTAAACATCAAACTGAAAAGTGAAAACTAAACAGAACATCAAAATAAACAGCTAGTTAACAGCTGCTAAATTAACATTAATATTAAACATTAAACTAAACATAAAATTTATAACTGAAAACGTCAAACTGAAAACTAAACAGAACATCAAACTAAACTGATAACATCAAAGTTTAATTTATCATTAAATATTATTACTGAAAAGTGAAAAGTGAAATCAAATATTGATAAGTTGAAATAAGCAAAAATAACATAAACAAAAAGCAAATAAGCACCAAACGGAGAAGCAGTATATACGAATAAACATAAATAACATTAACAAACTGGGAATTAAAACACAGTACTGTAGGAGTCAGCGACCAAACTGAAAGAGGCGGAGGAAGAAATGGTTTGTTGGCTTATTGCGTTATTGCGTTGTTGCGCTGAGATGAATTGGCCGCAAGTAATATACGAATACCCTATGCCGTATGTCGGTCTATTTTACAAAAACTGGGTCCGGCTGACAAATTAAAAAATTGACCCATACAAAATAAAATCTACGCCATGTTGTGCCTCATTGCGCACGCTATATTGCGTACGCAATATACCCAAAAAAACGTACGCTACGCTGCACATCGCCATTCGCAATGCTATTTTACGCCACAGACTAAAACACCAAGGCGCGCCATAAGGCGCTATGGCATTGCGCAATTTGAAACGTTGCATACTGCAAATAAAATTAATAAAAAGCACAAATATTAGTCTCCAAAATCACTAAAAATTCAAAACCAAAGAAGACAATTATCATAATATTTTGTTTAAGATGCATAAAAATAAATAATATAGGTGTTCTAAAAATGTTATGAAATAAAATTTATGGATAAAAATGAGACTAAAATTACTATAAATATGTTTTCATGATCATTACGGTAAATAAATTGAACATATTAGTAGTCACTAAAAGTTATTAAGTCATATTTTCGTCCATCATGATTATAATCATATATTAGGAATCAATTTATAAATTATATTGGTACATTATTTTGATTTTATATTAAAGCTAATTATTTCAGGTTTTTATCGGTCCGGGTCGGGTTATAGATTTTAGGGTCTGTTAATGAGCCCGAAATTTCGGGTTTGGTTCGGGTTTTTTTATTCGGGCCGGTTAAAAAGAAAAAAACCCGGACCAATATCATAATTCAGGCCGGGCCCGGGCCGGTTTCCGGGTTTCGGTTCGGTTTTTCCCACCCCTAGTCAGATTTAGAGATATCAAACAAAGCATGAAAAGAGTACGGAAAAACTTTAGAACATCGAAATATCAACCCTAATAGACGAATGACATTATGGAGTAGCAATAATATTAAGAAGTACATTAATACACTTCATTGATGTAATTGACCACATTTTAACCTCAATTCTCAAGTTGCCCTAGTATAAATTTACCAAAAGTTTGATATAGCTAGCTGTAACTTAGTACTTGCTGTGATGTAGACCAATATAGTCTAACTTAATAACCAAGAAGTAATATAAGTTTAACTACCCGCCCAAACTAGCATACGTCCGACGGAGAATACGGATGGGAGTCAGATGAAAGGTTTTCTTCTATTACATTCACTCAACTGTTCCAAACCTTCCAAAAGTTGAAGTGCATTATGCTATGATGCAACCCTACAGAAAGCCCCCCTTTCGTTCTCCACAGAAATGGTCAAAAGATTTAGGTAACTGATTGAAGGTAACTGAAATCAGTGACGATCTTCATCCATTGGTTCACTTCTGCTCGTGTGAGAAGCCAAATCCTCATCTTGCATTGCATTGCTAGGTTGCAATGTTCCAGAAACAGAATCTTCTAGCGCCTCGAGGAAGGATGGAACTGTGAAGTTGTCTGCAACAAGTCATTGGTTACACTGATACATCTAAGTGACAACCATCAATTAATGTTATTGAAAAGGAATTACATTGACTGGGATCAATTCCAAATTGAGCTAGATCAACCTGTCCGCTTCGAAGCACCTATAATAATATAGATAAAAATTAGTTCCTGTTCGATAAGTCTCTTTGTTCGACCTATAAGCCAGATTTACATCTAGGTTATTTCATTGCACTTGCTTAATTGACTGGTAATGAAAAACACCACAAAAGGTACTTTTTTTGTGGCTACAATGGCTAATTAATGGAAATGACATTTATAACTTATATACTCCTTCCGTTACAAAAAAAACTTCCCAGTTTGACTTGGCACGCTTATTGAGAAAGTGGGAATAAAGTGGAAATGTAAGATTGTGGTTGAGTATGAAAAAAGTAAATGAATGTTAGCCACACAAATCTTTCCAATAAAGGCAAATGGGAAGAATGTTTTGCGACATCACAAAATGGTAAGTGGGAAGATGTTTTTGGAACGGATGTAGTATTAGTTTCATGAAAATAGTTCTGAATTTTATTTATGAGTAAGTTGACAACTCTTAATAGGTTGACTAAATTAAATTCATTAGTTTTAACAATTTAAGTCCATTTTATCTTCAATAATAAAATAAATAAACTAAACACCTAATCTACCCTCATTTAATTTTTAATGTTGTTGCATAACTTTTCAGGTGGTGGCAGGCGGCAGTGGACCTTGGGAGATGTGAAGGGTTCTATTAAGAATGGGCAGTTTTGTAATTGATCTTTTAATTTAATATAAAATAGAATAAAAAGGTTATGCAATTGATTTACAAAACTAATACTACTAACTCTTACAGGGGTGATTAAATGTGATGTGTGTCCATTTTTTCTTTAATTAATACACTTGTTAACATATTTTGGTATAATTCTAAACATTTGGCCACAAAGTTAGCAAATTAACCAGATCCTGCCACTTCAGGCCCTACCGAACGGTCTCTTGGCCACGAATTTATTGGGCAGTTTGCCTGAAAAAGGTTGAATCTGAATCTACTGAATTTTCTAAAACCATTTTGTAACATCAATTTCAGCTAAATAAGCAAAAAAAAAAAAATCACCTGATAAGCAGAACAATAACAATATTCATAGTCTCCTGAACTGTACTTAAACAAAGAACATGATACGAAGATTCTAGAAAACTCACGTAAGTAAATGAATCTACTTGTTGACGAAATGGGGGGCTCTGCAATAACTCCAGGAAGTCCTCACGATTCCATTGGCCCTGCAAGTGGACAAACACTTTTAAGGACAGAAGAAAAATAATTAAAAGAATTTGATGATTCAGAGAAAGCAAAAGTGCATGCCATGTTGTTGACCTCAGGTAAATACGTAGCAAGTTGTTGTTGCAGTGGTATGTCTTCAATCAACGGTAGTACAAACTCTGGCCTCAATATATCCGCTAACCCCAAGCCTGCAAACAAAATTAAAGATGTTCAAGTTAGTGACTAGCATCTAATTATTCTTATTAGGCCTAATGTCTTGTACATAACAAACTAACAATCAAGCGCTTACCAGCATCTGGATCTACAACGCCATCTGTATCAATGCACAAAAGTCATCACTTTACTATAAATAACAGAGAAAACATAATACAACACAAGCAAACAGAACCTGATGATCCTATGTTACTTAGTATCCTTTGTAAATCAGCCAACTTTACAGGTCCAGAAGAAGTTACTTCACTGGTTGCTTCGGTGCCCATGCTTGGGCCAACCAAATTTCCTGCTCTGAAAATGATTAAGGCATACATATGGATGTTGTCGTAATCAGTTTTGTAGAACAGGGAGAAATTAAGGCACAAAAAGTAGAAAATGGTAATAGAAAGCACAAACTCTAAGAGAAAATTCAATCATGACTACAATGAGTCTCTAAGATGTGCTCATAGACCTCCAAGGCGCCAATATCACCGTAAAAGAAGTAAAAAAGCACCAAACTACACATACAAATCTCACGAATCTGGAAGTCAAAGATGACAAATAAATCATGGATTGGAGAATCTTGGGAGTTCATAGATACTATTTTCTAGACATGTCGCAAATAGGGATTTGAGAATCATTGAAGATCTTAGAAAATATTTTCTGATTGCAAACTTTGAATTATTTTTTTCTCTTCTCTAGTTGCTTTCTTTATTTTATTTCCCGAACTCTTTAAGCCTATTTAAAGGCCAGTTGAATAGAGAGGAGAGTATTACAACTTATTGTGTTAAGATTTGCATAATTATATTCTGCCCAGTTTTCTCCCCAAACAGTAAACATAGCCAAACCTTCTAAATATCAATCTACGCTTCCCACTCGCCCCAAGGCCCGAAAGGCCGTGATGAGATCTGGCACAGAAGCTGCCAGTAACACTCTACCTTTTCAAATATAACGCATCATTTCCCTGGTTTGTAGACTTAGGATGTTTTCACTTGGACAAAAAATTTCAAGTATGATCTAATCTAGTCTGAACTGATCTGATTTGATCTAGTTTATTCAAACCTATTTTGGTACACTGGTATGGTCCGGTAAGGGTATTATGTGTATGTCACTACACCCTTCATCCCGCTAAGATTGTCCCATTTTTTCTATGTTATTCATCCCACTAAGACTGTATGATGCTAAATTTGGTAATGTATCATTATTACTTTATTCTTCTTTATCAATTTAATATCAATCACATGGATTCACTTTTCTTAATAACCACATCACCTCCTCATGTACCAAACTTAGGAGGACGGAGGTAGTGTTGTCTAAGTCTCTGCTATGGTTTGTTTATATCTGGTCAAGTCTGGTCTGGTCCAGTGTAGTCTAAGGATGTTTTTACTTGTACTTATTTCAATCCCAGACAAGATCTAAACATACCAAAGTACCAGACCAGCCTTAACCAGACCAGACAAACCAGACTTAAATCGACCAGACCAGACAAACCAGACTTAAATCGACCAGACCGGACTAGATCAAAAAAATTCAATCCAATTAAAAATATCCTAAGACTGAAATCAGTCCAAGTGAAAACATCCTTGGTATATAGGAATATTAGATAATAATAATAATAATGATGATGATGATTATTAAAAATTGATCCCACTATATTATATACCTAAAGGTTCTCAATTCTATTTTAGGAAATAACTAGCACCTTTAAATGACCATTTAATCATCAAATATTAAAAATGACCTCGTTATATATTATATACCCATCAAAACTATTTCTCAAAATATACTAGATGTACCTTATTTAGTTATTGTTTAAATAACCGTGACATTTTGAAATGGGGACCTTAAGGCAGGACAAAGGTAGTACATTTTAGTGCCCACCAAACACATTGAAAGTGAAAAAATGAATCATTTGAGTGCCAAACAACCACTTATCCTTAGTTACCAAAGGAACAACAAACAGTTTTAACTTTATAATCCCATTAAATCACACACTGACACTAGCCCAAGAGCCCATTATCTCAGACCACACATTGGCCAAGATGGTTTCTCTCAACCTTCAACTTTTAGTTTATGTACATTTATTATGACTTCAGTTCATAATTTCCATGTTACATGATCATGAACGTAACTATGTCCCCATTTCTATGCCTGAAGTAAAACATTGTAGCAATTTTTAAGAATTCCACCCAATGCATGCTTATATAAAATATCAACCTAATTTACCTAATAAAATGTTACTCCATATATAACATTATCAATCAGACCAGACCAGACCAGACTAGACTTAAACGGACCTGACCAGATTCGAAAATTTCAGTCCAATTAAAAATATCCTCAAACTGAAATCAGTGCAAGTGAAAACATCCTTAGTATATAGGAGTATTAGATAATAATAAGAAGTAAAACATGAAGCCAGGGAACATGCGAGGAAAAATTAGATAGGACATACAAAACTGATGTACAAGAATGCAACCTCATACCATAGTACCATACCAACAATTATAACTTAAAAATCCAAATTAAACCTCACTGCCTCCAGATAACTTAGTATACCAACACAATATTGATCTCATAAAAAAGAGTATGATAAACCTAAAACCGGCAGATGCTCTATACAATAAATTCTACTCCCTCCATCCAAACTTAAGGTTGTCACTTTCCCTTTTTAGCCTTCCCACCTGAAGATTCTCATTTTTATTTTAGGAAATAATTAGCACCCTTAAATGTCAATTTAATCATCAAATATCAAAAATAATACATTTATAATATCACAATTATCATCAATGACCCCACTATATTATATACCCATCAACACTATCTCTCAGAATATACTTGATGTATCTTATTTAATTATTGTCTAAATAACCGTGACGTTTTGCAATGGGAACCTTAAGCCGGGACAGATGTAGTACATTTTACTGCCCACCAAACACATTGAAAGTGAAAATTGAACCATTTGAATGCCAAACAACCACTTACCCTTAGTTAGCAGCCTTCTATTTGTGATCCCATGATCTCAAAGGCATAAGAAACAGTTTTAACTTAATACTCCCATTAAGTCACACACTTACACTAGCCCAAGAGTCCATTATCTCAGCCCACACATTAGCCAAGATGGTTTCTCTCAGCCTTCAACTTTTAGTTAAGTACATTTACTACGACTTCAGTTCATAATTTCCACGTTACATGATCATGAAAGTAACAATGTCCCCATTTCTATGCCTGAAGTAACACATTGCAGCATTTTTAACAAGTCCACGCAATGCATACTTATATAAAATATCAACCTAATTTACCTAATAAAATGTTACTTTATATATAACATTATCAACTAGACCGCGTAAACAAAAACAAATTCATTTCAGAAGGCAGCTGCGGCTTAAAGATATGTACTATTTACTAGAATGTAGCCAAATACCCAGGCAGAAAAGCATAATGTGAATGAAGATATATATAACTTACCTAGATGAAATGTCTTCTTCAACCACATCATAAGTATTTTCAGGCTCTTCTTCACCAGGAAACTCTGTTGAAATGAGTTCCAGAAATTGATAGATCCATACATATTACTCCCTCCGTCCCAAAATAAATGTCTTGTTTGCTTTTGCACAAGTTTTAAGAAAGTGGTTGAAAAGGTAAAAGTTGTGGTTGAGATTTGAGTAGAAAAAGGTGAATTGATATGAGCCACCCATTATTGGCAAAAGAGGAAACAAGACAATTATTTTGGGATGGACCAAAAAGGAAAGTAGGACATTTATTTCGGGACAGAGGGAGTACTATATTAGTGGTTATAAACTGCTAGCATAGAAATCAAGAAAATATTGATACACCAGATGAAATAAGCTATTGGCTAGGTTGTACAGCATATATATTACATACAATCATCTGCTCAAAAAACATTATCTAAATGAACTTAATGAATAGAACTCATGCAACAAATCAAGCTAAAACAAAATTTAAAGATTTAGGAAGATTTATTTCTACCTAGTGGTTGATTTAGGTAGAAGTTAACTGAGCTGCATAATTGTGAATCATTGTCGTCTTTTGGCTCCTGCAAGTAATGCAAATAACAAACTATCTAAGTAATGCCACATGCAAATATGTGTGTAGTACACTTGCCAAAAACTAGACCTGCATCCAGTAGAAAAACTTTCGATCATCTGTATGAAATTTCAAAATGTAAACCCTCGCGGATGATTGATTAACCTGAACAGCTCAGAAACAAAGATGTCCAAGGATGTTAATTCTAAACATGATTTACTTGTGTAAAACTACTATACTCAGACTCGCCTATTACCTTTTCAAAGACTGCTTCCTCTGGAACAACAATCTGATCCTAATGTTTGTTTTGGTCAAGGAATAATCTTCCAAGACTACTCAGAAAGAAGTGAACAGGAAACTGGTTGTCTTTGGAGAAACTAGAAAGATTTATGATCTTATGGAGTATAGATGCATTCTTTACTTCAACATAAGATTTTTAAAGGATGAAGGATACATCTTCGACAATCAAACTTGAACGGTCCAACCATTGGAAATGGACAAGTCCTTCCACGCCCTAACATAAAAAAGAGACATAGGAAACATCAGAACACATAGGATGATATGATTTTTCATGAAGTAGCTTTTACCTTGAAAAGATCAATGGAAGTTTAGATGCATGTAGAAATTAAAACGGTGAATGAAAAAAAAACTTTAAATCCAATACCCTGCCGATACGAACAAGTCCTTTCCGTGAATCTGGGACAACTCGCTTTCCTTCCATAAGCATTTTTCCTGCTCGAAATTCAAGCAATATCTCCTGCACCGTGGAATAGAAAAGAATCTCATCTTTATCAAAATCGATTGTGGTTTGTCTATGCAAGGTTCTCAGTAGATTTTGTGATTAGTACTAATGAAAAGCAAAGATATGAGAAGCATGTACTGACTACTGATGCAATGTAGAAAGAGTAAGTTTTACTTCATGGTTTAGTAGAGTAGATAAAAGAGGAAGTGCATTTACTTCCTAAAACTAAAACAGCATTTGAGGTTACTCATTTTTCATAGAATGTGTGCTTCTCAGAGATTGGGGGAGGATGGCAATATGGCACTTGTAATCTAACAATATGTGTTTAGCAAAGAAAAGGCACTTTTGTACTAATTTAGGTAAACATCGATCCAGTGCTTTTAGAGAGAAAAAAACATTTAAATGAGAAAAGACTTTCTAAAAAGAACTTATAACATAGTTCACCCAAAATGGGAAATAACAATAATTCATTATCAGTGTTTGAAAATGTGTATTGCAAAGCTGGGTGTTTTTTCAGGATTGCATATTGTATGAGCCTCATTGAACAATGAGGTATAAGCCTCAGTTTTTAGAACAATTGTAATATTTATGTAAGAAAAATACAAATAATAGAAAGAATCAGATAAACTAATATAATAAAATACTCATTAAATCTCAAGAAACTTCGACAAGAGAATCTGAAAAAGAAACTGATCTTCTTGAATAAGAAAATGAAAACATGACCATTCCAAAACTTCAACAATGTGATTAACAAAAAAGGTGAGCACAATGTTTATGTTCTCAACACTAACAAACACGATCAGAGAAAAAAACTAAGCACCTGGATGGAGCAGTAAGAAGAGATAATATCGCAGGTCTGGAAGTCGGCCCGGTTTTTCTCGAATCGCAATTGAGTAGAGGAAGGAGGAAAAGTTGCTTAGGCTGTAGGGCTATCCGTAAGGGAAAAACGCTAAGGGATTTTAAAGTTCAAAGAGTGGGCATATTTTTTTCATCCTTATGGCATAAGACTAAGCGATGCCTCAAGGAGAAGCAATGAGGCATACAACCCATGCTCGAATTGCCAAAGCCTCGCCGTTTCTTCCCCTGGGTAGAGCCTAAAGGAGCAATTGTGCTAAAGAATTATAAGGCACAAGGAGTTGAAAAGTATTTATGACTATCATTTATTAGTGTTAATAAGTGGTGGATGACGATTATAGGGGCTGAGAAAAAATCCTTGTAGTAACGCCAAGGACCATCACAGTCTGCCATTATTCATAAAGTTTCAATTGGTTCTAGTGAAAATCAGCAACACCATTTCCCTATGGTGATATCATGACCGCCATTTAATGAGATCATCACTGATAACTAATCTTCCAGACATGGGCTATAGATGGTAATTGGTAAACTTTTGCTACCACACGGTCCAAACGAGACAATGCCAACACTCTCTTCTCTTAATAGCTATTTTCCCATGTGTTAAACTGGAAGAGAATATGGAAACTCAATGAAATTATTGCACAAACTAGAAAAGTAACATGAATTTACAGTCTTCTCCCAAATTAAAAATTTCTTGTATACAAACCCTATTTGCTATGCCACAAAACAATAGGATCAACTCGCAACCGGATTTCCATCATGACATTTTGAATAAGTTGACTCCCACATTCGTACATATAGACCTGCACCAAAATATAGTGACCAAGCCAACACACTCACTATGGAGCACATTGGAGGGAGGATTCTCCCATCTTCGTGCTCACAAGTATTACTCTAACACCTGAAGTATCATTTTCAAGGGAAAGCTACAGCTTGTAAATATTATGCAGAAGGAACACGTATATATCATATCAGGATCATTAGACACTTCCAGAATGATTCTTAGCGGATCCAATAGTAAATTCTACTATAAAAAGAAACTAAGGAAGCCATATTAACTGTACACGGTATTATCTCCAAACATGAACTAATAGCCTTTTATTTCTTTTTTTAACCCGACAGAAAAGTACTGAAAGAAATAACCGGCACCTGAACTTGAGGATAAGCATCCATCGATGAGGAATCCATAAGCAAAACCGATGCCTACACCTTATTCTTTCCGCTCCAATCAGACAGCTGAAAATTATGAGCAGACATACATAAGTATGATTGTATGAAGCAAAAAGGGGATAAACCAAAGGAACAATCTTGATTGATTATTTTAGCTTCATTAGTTAAACTATCATATCACAGTTCAAATACAGAAAAAATCATGTAAAACCATTCCGTGTAAAATTGTTCAACTCTAACAGACTAGCAGGATTAAAACAGCTAACCCGGAAAATCCGTCTACCTCTGTCTCTTCAATGGAAGAATTTTGAAGGAATGGGACGAATTATCTCCAGCGCTGCAAATTGTGTATATGGGTAGCGTGCACGTGGTTGGGTTGCGAGGTGCGTCGCTACGGTCTGGGCTCAGTGTGTGACCCGATCCGCAACAATTCTAGACTAGGGCAGTCTCAAGCTTGGGGTCACCGGTCACCACCAACTGTTTGGGCTGGGTTGGCCCCTCTCATTGTTTTATTCTAGAATAAAACTCTTCCATTACAACTACTAGGGAAATTCTATTCACAGTTCAGAAATTATTAATTGCAGTCATCTAATTAAATTTAAATATATAAAATAATATCAAATATCTTTTCTACTCTTAGAGCATCTTTAATGGGAGGATGTCAACATTAAAAAAATTGTGACACGTGGCAATACATTATTGGAATGTTTAGCCATGTAGGAAGAATGTCAAACCCACGTTGCAATAGATGCTCTACAGCACCGAAATGCCTTCCGCTGCATACATTAAGCTCTAACTGTTTTGTACGAAGTGGTATATTTCAAATTCAAATTCATTAATGGGAAACTAAAGATGACCCATATTTTCGTGGATAATTTCTACGGTTTTGGCTGATTCATCATGTGAAGGGAACTGTTGTGAGAAGAATGTGGTGTCTACACTGTCTAAATAAATATTTAACACCTCAGCATCACAGGAAGTTAAAATCACTGCATTGGAGACCAATATTTTATCAAAATGTCAAATTGCATGATGTAGTGGTATTTTTTAATGTGCACACCGTCAGGTTAAAGATGCTCCTATACATACTACGTATATGTTATAAATTTACAATTAATCGATCAGTAACATATTAGTCAACATCGCAGTCTCATTGACAAACTTGAAACATACCTTGAAATATCTACCATCTTTCTCATCCCTGTTTGTATAAACTTACAGAATTCAGTCAGCATAGATCATTCCCCACACTTTTCTTTCCCTACTTTTTGAATTTAAGAACAATTCGATGTATTATTGTAGAGCTTCCCATTTTTCTATTCAACTCATCACACATCATAACCATTTAAGTTACTAACAATAGAATCTTGCAACTCAATTCTCCAAATCCAGAGCGAAAGAGATGCATCACTACCCCAAAACTGCTTATTTTTTACACTTGTTCTTTTTTAAAATTGCCTAGCAGAAACAATCAATCTATTTCTGACTGACCAAATGCGTCGATTGGCTTGTAATGTGACATTAAACGTATGAATACTAACAAATTAACTCAACAGTCATGCGTCAAAAGTATGGGAAACCAAGAAACAAAGATGGTCCTAAAATCAAGAGATTCAAGACATATGTTTTTTTTTTGGGAAAAGAGAAATTTTATTGATATAGGAAGGAAAGAGAATACAAAAAGCTGGAAATGAAAAAAAAAAATGAAATATTACTCAATTCTTTTTACATGTACACGTGTTAATGAATCGAGGCAAATCTGAACTTCTTCAACTTTGCTAGATTTGCTCATAGTAGCATCTGGATTCAAGTTCTTCTAGATAAGCTTTAAATATGAAATTGGGTTCAACTCGATAAATATTCAATCACTAAATATGCTCAAGTGCATGAGTTTATCTTACGTTTGCTAATTGGCTCATGCTTGCAATATTTGGTTGGTTAAAAATCAAATTTAAAAATAGAAAATTTACTACCCTTTGATCTCAAATAGATCACAATATGGGTCTGGAACAAGAATTAAGAAACATAAAGGCTCCACTTTAGTACATTAAATTGTACTATGATTTTAGATTACACCTTCCTCCAAGCTAAAAGGGAGTTGAAAAACTAAAAAAGAACTTATCCTTCATAATAAACTATGGATCGTCTTCGATATGTAGTTTCATGAATTTTAAAATTTCTATGAATTCTACGTGTCCTCGACTTAGAATTCTGAATATTGCATTAAATTCCAGATATCCCCAACTAGAAATCTATTTTTGAGAAAAATGGTGTCCCATATGGCTAAAACTTTAGGCGTTTCTCAAAATATGACCTCATATCTTTTCCCCTTATATGATGGCATATAACATGTATGCATATCATACGGGCTTTTCATTTTCTCATGTCGTTCCATACATGTGTGGTCATATATTGAGAAACAATCATGCATGACCATATTTTGAGAATTGTCATGAGTTGTAGATATATTTTCTCTTCTATTCAATCCATTAACATATAGGTCTCTTCAATTTTTATGGAATTTATATGGATGTTGGGTTAATGGCCCAACAGGGGTCGGCCCATCAACCCTTTGAGACCCACCAGACTCTTGTCTCCTAAGCCCCAAGCCCTCTGGTAAATATACTGAAAACAGCCCAAGGCAGAAAGGAAGTCCGTCCCCCATAGGGACGTGCGGCCCCAAGTTGCCAGGTAACTGCATTCCAGGGACAACTGTCAGGGGACGTACGCCATGAGATGCATGGTGGCTTCTCGACTTGGGAGGCGCTACATTGCCATACAGCCAATTCCTGGGGACGACCATCGTCACCCATTGGCGGGAAACCTGGATTCTGGCGGGAAACGCATTTAATGCAGAAGAATAGGTGGTTGGGACCCTGGTCAGCCACGGTCTGCAAAATCAGTTTATGTAACTACCCATTGGCGGTATAAATAGTACTCCCTCCGTTCCTAAATAAACTTCCAACTTTCTTTTTTCGTCCGTTCCAATTAAAACTTCCACTTTCCCTTTTTGGTAAAGAATTTGTGGTTCACAACATTTCTTACACATTTCTCTCTCCTCTGCACAACTCTCCACCACACAATATCCATTATCTTAAACTTTGTGCCAAACCCATTTGGAAGTTAAAATGGGAACGGAGGTAGCATCATTTATTTCATTGTAAAGGGTTGGCAACTTAGCACTCTAACATTCTAGCATTCACATAGCAATTGTATGAATGGCCTCACGCCTTTAACGACAGCTTTATTAAGTTCTCTTAATGAGCCTTTCTTCGCTTGTTTTAACATCTAATTCACTATCTCTTCCATTCGAAACCCTCGGGTCGTGTGTCGGGCCTACGGGTTGAAGGAATAAACCTCAACAATGGATTTTACTAAATGGTGGAATCCAAAGGATTTGTGTGAATTCTAAGCTAAAAACACTACATATATTCTTCTAAGAAATTTGATGCTTATGCTCGGAATCTTTTTTTTTACCCCGGAAGGCCAACCACCAAAATCAATGGGACAAATGCCGGGGGACATTTGCCATTATTGTATTAATGCAGAAAACAAAAGTACAATTCGGGGGGACCAAACCAAAACCCGAAAAAATAAATCAAGGAAAATTAAATTCTAAAAGAAGGAATACCAAAATAATCCATCCAATAAGCTCTTTTAACAAAAGTAGGTAATAATTCGAAGCAGGAAAAGAATTTTGGCCTATCAACCCTCTCCTGGGCCAAATGGTGGGCAGCCCAATTGCCTTCCCTGTACGTATGTCCAAATGACAGCCGTTTCCTAATTTGGATCTGTGAGATTTCCTGAAGTTCTATTAAAATATGATATATAGAAGCAATATAATTCTATTAAAATTTATAGGTTCTAGTTGTCACGCCCCGGACCTACCCGGACACGTCAACAACCCGCCGTACAGTACGAATAGTCAACCGTAGTCCAACACATCCATACTATACAAGGCGTCTGGAATATCATTCACACGTAGTACGTCCATAAACAAGCATAATGTAAAACATTCATTAACGCAGCGGAAACAATATGACAAGTGTTCAAGCCACATTTGGCAAACTTAGGCGTACAAGCCCCCAAATAATTATTCAGGAAAAATAAAATCCATGAACATTTATATAATTGTTTTCAAAACAGAAACGCAGGAAGCACGAACCACATCTTCTCTCCTAGATATCCCCGAAGCAACGGGCGTCGGTAGCAAGCTTCAACTTCTACCTGAAACTGTGAGGTGGCCTCCCCCGTGAAGGGAAGGTCAGTACTTTGAAGCATTTGAAAAGTACAATGACAACTACACTGAATATAATCAATGTTTCAATTTCTAAGACCCTCAATCTAGGGTGATATTACATTATAGGCCATAACCTCTGGTTACCCTGTTTTAAAAATATACTTACTTTATAAAAAGTCAAGTATTCGGCCCGTGGGCGCATATTCATTTAGAATTCACCATATCTATTTCTCGTGACACCAAGTCACGACAACTCATATAGTTCATCATGCCATGATTTCATAGCAAGGGCTCGGCCCAACTACATTTCTATGATATTTGCTAGCCAAAATTCAACACATCACTATTGCATAGCAAGGGCTCGGTCCAACTACATTTCTATGCAATCCTACAATTTCATGGCAAGGGCTCGGCCCAACTACGTTTCCATGATATCCGCTAATGCATGGCAAGAGCTCGGCCCAACTACGTTTCCATGTACTTCACAATTACATGACAAGGGCTCGGCCCAACTATGTTTCCATGTAATTCTATAGTCCGGCTCTAATTCATCATTTTAGTCCGATTCTCAAACAAATCCCATGCTTAGAATCCATTCACTTAGAGTAACCTTTATGTCTTACCCCTAACATACCTTAGAGCTCATACAATTCATCCTTAAAGTATCTCTTAAGACTACTTAAGGCATCACCATTCATATTCCAATCCCTTAGGATTAATTCCATTATTATTCATATCAATCCCCCGACTAGTATTTTAATACTAATCGGATAATCTTAGAACAACCAAGTTCATAATTCATAGTCCAATGACTTTCCAATCCAAATATAATTTAATCTCAATATAAAAAATATCCCTTTTATCCATTCATGAATTCTTTACATGAAGTAAAAGTATATTTTGTCACAATATTTGATAGTAAATTCCTACTATCATGGCATCATATTCATAACACATAATCATACACAATTTGTCTAAATTTGTATATCATGCTTCATTTACTCACATGCAATAGTATTTTCAATTAGGCATTATTAATCATTAATAATGCATGAAAATCACATTTAATACGTTAGGTAATCTTATGAAATTAACCCAACAATTATAAGCAATATAGCCAGTCATCCTCACCTCATGATTTGCTACAATAGTTGCCTTTGTTATGCCCCTCGATCAATCACCGTTCTAGGCCGATTGAAAGTGGATAACTGGACTGCCAACCAAAAGCCGGGCGGCTTTCACAAAAGCCGGGCGGCTTTCGTAGTCTGCAACTACGAATAACTCCTTTGGAGTGGCGGTTTCCGGCGATTTCGACT